GAAAACAGAGTGTAAAATAACTCCTCAGTAGTTTTTCCTATGGATCACCTATTAAAATGATAATATTTTGGATATTTTGGGTTAAATAACATATATGGTTAAAATTAATTTCACCTCTTTTATTCTCATTTTTTTTAAGTGGCTATTAAAAAATTTAAAATTACCTTCATGGCTCAAATGATGTTCCTACTGGAAAGCACTGATTTAAATAATTTGCTGCTCTCCCACCCAGACCGTGGAACTCCTTCAATCAGAGGTATTTGGCTTGGAGGTGGCAGTGACAGAGTCTCACAGAAAATGTTTTTCCTCAGTTGGAAGTCTGACACCTTAAGAAATAAAGTGCTGTGCGACAGACCCTTAAACAAGGAATAGTCCAGAGGACTTCATGATGACTCAGAAGCACATGAGCAGGTCACCTCCTCACACTAGGAGACCTGTCTGTACAATAGTGAGACCAGTGGAGAATTGCTGTGCCTATGCTTTTCCCACTTCAAAAAGAGTCTGGCACTGATTACATTGTGTGATTGAAAAGAGTTTTATGTATGTTCTTGTCCTTGTCAGGATCGCAGATAATTCATTCTGCAGAGAGGCAGTGACTGTGTGCATAAACTTGGTCCTGTTGGTATAATCATGTGCCTCACCTGTTCTGACCCCTATCAGAATGCTAAAGATGCAAATTAACTCTGAAGGACACATCTAGATAATGAAAAAAAAATTATGCTTGCAGACTGTCATTGTAACATTGGCATCAGAAATATTGTTCACATACATTTTCTCATGGAAGATTTCAGCTCAAGTTTTCATTACAGCCACTGGTGAGAATGAATTGACAAGTCTGAAATTAACCAAGGAAAACAAAACAATGACTGCATGTTTCCCAGTGTAAAAAATTCAACTGAGTTTTAAAGTTGCTTTCAGTTGTTTAAGGAAATACATACATCTCTCCCTTTCCTATTATAGAAGATTAAAAAGCCAGAGGAAGAAAGGGAAAAAACAAAGAGAAGGAAGTGCTTTTAAAAACCCTCTTTTGTACTCCCCTCCACTACAGACACATGTCTGGAAGAACAATTTTCCTGGAGAGTATAGACTTCGCATTACAAGGTGGTACCAGAAAGGGACAGAAGCGAGCCTTATTCCACAGAAAGTTCACGTCCATCATTAAAGCCACACAAAAGCTGCGTGAGCACAGCAGAACCTGGACAATTAATCAGCCAGTGAAGTGTCATCTTGATTTATATTTTTCCATTTCTCCATGATACTGCCCAGAGACCAAGCTGAGGAATTCTTCAAGCAGCTGGCTGCATTCTGCTCTAATTTTTTTTTTTTTTTAATATTAGATTTGTCCATCAATTTGCTTTCCAGTGGGATGAATTTTTTTTGTTGTTGTTGAAGAGGAAATACCAGCTATTTATAGCAACTGAAGGAAATCATGAATGGTTTTAAGAGCCACAGAATGGTATGCCACCAAGTAAACAGTTCTACAAACAGTCATTTTCGACAACAATACCATGAGATGCTCAGGCCGACTGGGTTCCTAAGCGAGGTCAGGTCATCTCAGGAAAACTTACAGGATGTTCTCTCAGCCTTCCTTGCATAAAGGAATTTCAGTAGAGCAATCACAAAATGGTGCAATGGGCGATACTGGTCATTTAAAGTCTTTATTCATAGCAATCTCATTATTGGGTCTCATAGCTATGCCAGGTGCCTTGTCAGATACAACTTCCTTTGCTTGCACTTACACGTGGGATTTAAACGGTGGTTTAGAAGACCTCATTTAAAACAAATACTGTCAACAATTTAAGACTATTTTATTTGGTCTTTCTATTGTTTTTCCCTCTTCTTGGTTGTGGAGGGTGGGGTATGGAGCATCAAGAAATACTACTACTTAGTATGCTATTTGTCATCTTCTATCTGTAGACAAAAGGGTGGAAGTTCTTTGTTTCTACAGAAGACCAAACACAAGTGAGGTCCTTTTATAATAAAATTCATGACTTAAAAAATCTCATTTCTTGATTTATAAAAACAAGAGGATATGTCAAAAAAATTTTAAATGTAAGCCACAGTAACCCATGTAGCTTAGTCCTATTCTGAGGAGGGAGGAAACAGAAGAGGGGGAGGAAGAGAAGAGGGAAAGAAGATGGAGGAGGGAGGAAAGAAGATAAAAAGAAAAAGAAAAAAAGAAAGATTAAGATCAAGACTGACAGGAAAAGAGAAAGAAAATAAGAGGTCCAGACACACACAAAGAAATAGATAGGCATAGACAGAAACAAGGGTTTTTGAAGATAACCCCAGCTGGTCATACCTGTGTTCCTAGGGACAGGGTGAAATTTCTAGAACTCTAGTGGTTCATTACTAAATGACAATTAGACTTTTTTATTTTTATTTTTTGGTTTTAAACTTCAAAAGTTTTTAAAAGGCTATTCTCTCATAAAATTGTGACTTTCACAGAATTTTAGAAATTAAAAATTTTTAGAGCATAGAAATTTCCTTTCTTTTTTTTTCCAGATGGAGTTTCACTCTTGTTGCCCAGGCAGAAGTGTAGTGGCAGGATCTTGGCTCACTGCAACCTTCGCCTCTCAGGTTCAAGTGATTCTCCTGCCTCAGCCTCCTGAGCAGCTGGAATTATAGTCACGTGCCAACATGCCCAGCTAATTTTTGGTATTTTTAGTAGAGACAGGGTTTCACCATGTTGGCCAGACTGGTCTTGAACTCCTGACCTCAGGTGATCTACCCACCTCAGCCTCCCAAAGTGTTGGGGTTACAGACATGAGCCACCGCGTCAGGCCAGAAATTTCCTTTTAACATTGGAGGTAGGCCAGGCACTGTGGCTCAAGCCTATCATCCAAGCATTTTGGGAGGCCAAAGCAGGAGGATAACTTGAGCTCACAGATTGGAGACCAGCCTAGGCAACATAGGGAGATCCCATCTTTACACATTTTTTTTTTTTCTTAATTAGCCAAGTGTGGTGGTATGTGCTTGGAGTCCTAGCTACTCAGGAGGTTGAAGTGGGAGGATCACTTGGGCCCAGGAGTTTGAAACTGCAGTGAGCAATGACTGTGCCACTGCACACCAACCGGGACAACAGAGTGAGACCCCATCTCTAAAAAAGAAAACATAAACAAACAAACAAAGAAACATCAGAGGTACAGCCATGTTGGCTATGACACATAGTCTTTCACTATTAAAGCAGGTACTTGCTATTAGTACAGTGGAGAAAAGACTGAGGGGATGTGGGCCTAGAATCATTAGCATTGAAGACCCTGCTCAAGTGTTACCTCCCCAGGAAATTTTAACAAGACTCCTTCAATAAGATTCTACACCTCCTCTGTGCTCTCCAGGCCGCGTTCTCCAACTCCTTTCCAGTTACAGTATGTCTCTGCCTGTGGACTGTAATGAACAGGCAGAGCATGAACAGGTCTTACTCTCACCATCTCTACTGCTAACACCTTGCTCGAGGACAGGATCACCACTCACCTGGATTAGCTCAAACAGCCTCCAAACCCGTCTCCCTGTTTCTCTGCTGCCCTCCCACATTCCCTCCAGGTACAATCTCTATACAGCAACCAGTGATCCTGTGGCAATGTAAAGCAGTGTCACACCTCTGTTCCAAACCCACTAGCTGTTTCCTTCCTCGTTCTGAATAAGAGCCAAAGTTCTGATTGTGACCTACAAGGTCCACACGACTTTCCTCTTCGAATCTCTACTCCCATCCCCAGTACTGTATTTTGACCAAGTTGGCCTTCTTGCAGTTCCTCAAACAAGCCACACCTCTATGGCTGCAGGACTACTGCCCTTATTGTTGCTCTGCCTGGAATCCTCTTATCTGCATGGCTTCCTCATGTCTTTTAGGTCTCTACTCTACTACCTTCTCACCTAAATTTCTTACCTAACTCAAATCTCCATCTCTCCACCCACTACCATCTAAGACATTCCCTAACCCTTTACCTACACTGGTTTTCACACTGGTTTTCACCTTAGCATTCGTCATCTTTGAACACACATGTTTTACTTACATATTTATTATAATATTCCTTATTACAAAGTAACTGCTATGAGTTTTTTCTGTTGTGTTCAGTATTATAGCCCCAGTATCTGGAAGAATGCCTTTGTACATAGAAAGTGTTAAATATTTATTTGTAGAATGAATGAACTCACATTTTAACTTTTGGCTCCTGGCACAAAGTTTTGATTGATGCTCAGTCAATGCCTGCTGACTGACTAAATCAATTTTTGCTAAATATATATCCTTCCTCATCAGCAAATGTACTATTCTTATCCAATTCATAAGTTATAGATTAACACATTCAGAAAACCCTAAATTTCCATAAGCATGTAAAGGGATGTGCTTTTAAAAATTTATTTTCGTGGAGAGATTAGGACTGACCCACTCCCAAATGCATCAGTTTCAATGAATTTGGCATTCATTTCACACTGTAAATCTCCTTAACCCACATCTTTTCTGCTTTTGGGGAATTCTGGGGGCACTAACATAGAGCTAAATCATACACACAAATAGATCTGGAAAAGGTATAGAAGTACATATAATACTTGCATATGGCTGCTTATTTACATATGGCTAACTAGTGTTCAATAAGTTTTTATCAAAACTGTGGATATCCTCTAAGCATCTTCACCAACGTTTTCCATCAAGGAGTAAAATATTTTCTGGACAGTATCTCCATTTTCCTTCTTCTCCTGGTCATAATGAAATGTAGCCATGGCCCCCACAAGTTAACCACTTTAGAATAATCAGAATGTAAAGATATTTTTGAGCTTCAAATCACTGACCAGAAAATTTATATAAAGGGAAAAATTTTAAAATTAAATTGAGAAGGATATTTTAGAAAAAAATGTGCTTACTTACAGTCACATACCTCATTTCATTCTTCAGCATGGCCCATGTGAATGCTTCAAAGCTGGCAATTTGAAAAATTTCTCAAATGTCAAAAACAGATAGTATACCCATATTTCATCATGTTGATATGTTCCAAGTCACCTACCAGGCATAATAATATTTGAAAATCCCAGCTTCCTCGTTATGGATACTCCATGAGAAAATACTGATGAATATTCTCTTCTGATTTGTTCAATGTCTCCGTGCAATAGCTGTAAGGAAACTGCTAAACCTAAAACAAATGAGAGATACCCAAGTTAAAACCAGAATAGAAATAGAATAAAGAGAAACTGATGTATTGCAACAAGCCCAAATTTAGAGTATCATGGTTTTAAACTAAGGGTTAATATTCTGACAAAATCAACAGAATCTATATGAATCATATCTGAATAACACTTTTCCAACTTCAACATCTGAGTTTCCCATTCATAAGGAGGGTCAGAGCAAGTGGAGAAAATGAGCAGAACTCTAAAAGGCAAGCTGGCTTCCAAAGCCCAAATCTCTCCTCCAACCCCAGTTTGGTGGAGCATGTTCCTGTACCAACACTCATTCCAGCAACAGATGAAGGTCACCTGGCCCTAAAAAATACTGACATCAAAATTGGAGGATTAAAAAAAAAAAAAAACTCTATAAGGTCTATGAATAGTTGCTTATCAAATATCAAAAGCATAAACATAAATCTGAAAACATTAATTTAAGGATTTTAAGAATACTGATAAGAGATTTTCTTCAAACAGAAGCAATAAAGCTGATTATAATGAAACTAGGATTATATTAATAATATATACAGTAGAAACTTAGGATGACATGATTTTCTAGTGAGGAGAATTTAGCAGGATACAGGACACTTTGACAAACAAAAGAGAATTTAGTCAGTAAAGTAGAAAAAATTATTATTTTTACCACAATTATAGTGACATTACCATAGCGGGATATACAGAAGATGCAAAACACTTTTCATCATATATTATTTTCTCAATTTCCAGGCAAGAAGTACAAAAAAATTAATGTCGTATCATTGTGAATATGTCTGTATACATATTCCAAAGATAGCGCTTCTCTTTCAGCTTTTTCCTTCCTTCTTCGTTTATCTTCCTATGTTTTAATTTTTTAAGATAGCCAAATTATTATATTTTTTACTTTTTTATTTCCATGGGCTATTGAGGAACAGATGGTATTTAGTTACATGAGTAAGTTCTCTAGTGGTGGTTTGTGAGATTTTGGTGCACCCATCATCTGAGTAGTATACTCTGAACCCAATTTGTAGTCTTTTATCCCTCACCCCCCTCCCACCCTTTCCCCCATGTTTTGTTTTGTTTTGGTTTTGGTTTTTTGGAGACAGAATCATGCTCTGTCACCAGGCTGGAGTACGGTGGCGTGATCTCAGCTCACTGCAACCTCCACCTCCCGGGTTCAAGCGGTTCTCCTGCCTCAGCCCACTGAGTAGCTGGGACTACAGGCACACACCACCACGCCCAACTAGTTTTGGCGTTTTTAGTAGAGAAAGGGTTTCACCATGTTGACCAGGATGGTCTCGAACTCTTGACCTTGTGATCTGCCCTCCTCGTCCTCCCAAAGTGCTGGGATTATAGGTGTGAGCCACCGCACCTGGCCTATATGTTTAAAAATAAGAAGGACAAAAATATCTCCCATCTATATTTACTACATTAGTGATAGAAAATGAAACCAGTAAAAGTTGACTTATTTTTAAAAACATTCAGTCATCATTAACCTGAAGTCAATTTAAAGATGAATTTGCTGGCTGGGTGCAGTGCCAGTTTATTTGTCATATGTCTAGAGGAAGATGTTCCCTTTTACTCTCTTTCAATAACAGAGCAAACAAACAATAACAATGAAAGTAGTGTTTTTTTCTTTTTTGGTTGGTTTGCTTGTTTTTCAATAGAGTGGTTAAAATATCAGGAAAATTTATAAACAAAAAATAAAAAAAGAAGGAAAGAAAAAAGAAAGGCTTTAGGCTCAGAGAGAAACTGGAGCCTCTCCTGAGGCCCAAATCGGAGCTAAAAAGGAGGACAGGGACACGACGACATGATCGTGTCCTCATACTTTCCAGTTTGTGCACCAACAGAATGTCTCCAAGAGCTAAAGTCTGGCACATCCTCAGAACTTCAAATCTGCATCCCAGTTAAACCTAACAATCCCTTATCTCCCTCTCCAGCTCCATCCCATTCACTCTGAGTTAGGTGACTGATAACAATAAAATGGAGAGCGTCTGTCTTTCCATGGCCAGGGAAATGAAGAAGGGGAGAATAAGCCATCTGGATGATTTGACGGAGACAACTATCATCAGAGAAGCTTTTGGGCACTTTATGTGATACTACTGGAACCGTTTAAAACCTAGAGGCAGAAGAACGAAGACAAACGAACATGTGTTATGATCCATCTGTCCCAGCAGCTATTTCTTCCTGACTCACACTCTACCCCCACCTAATCATGGGTGTCTCTGTTCTTCTCCCACTTCTGTCCTTTTGCCTTCAAAATACTCACCCACTTCATTGCCATCATCATTAGCATCACCAGGATCTGGTATTTGTAGAATATCAGTGTTTGCCAGACCCAGTACATAACAACAGTTCTTCCTGCTGGGGAAACACTGTTCAAATCCTGATGTACTATATGAGCAATGCTTTCCAGTACAGAATAAGATGAATTTAACAAAATTCTTAAGATCCTGTAATTTTTTCAAGTGAAGATCATTTTACTGGGGCTTCTCAGTGAAAGATCTGATCAGAGACACTAGCAACATTATGTGGTACACATAAAGGAAGAAAAGGACTCAAGAGTAATGAAAAAAACAAAGAGATTATGCTATTCACAATAGAAGCTGGAGAGAGGAAAACTGACCAAGATTCTTGTTTTGCCCTATAGAAGCCAGCAGCGACTTTAAAAATAAATAAATAAATAAATAAGTTGAATACTGTACTTTACAGAGGATAAGACAAGCAGAAAAGAAAATCATTGGGTCAGAGAGACGGTGAATCCTTACGAAAATTAAAGAAGACAGGAAAAGGAGAAAAAAATGTTTTGGAAAAGACATAGACGGAGGGAGAGTAATAACAAACAGAAATATATCAGTGTTCTGTAAAGAGCAAGGGCCACAGAGGGAAGAGAGTGCAAAAAGACAGAGAGGACCCATTTAATGGAGACAGTCGACAGAGAGGAGTCAGTCAGTGGAGAAGGGAAGGGAATGGGAAAATGACAGGACAATAGACAACACAGTGTGGGGAAAAGGAAAAGCAGGCATTTCAGACTTGGATGCATACTAAAAGTTTGAAAGATACGGTAGTTTTCAACCTGAAGGTTTAGAGCAATATAGATCAAAGCCCTCAGTGTAATTATGCCATTTGACTAGCCAAGTGATGATAATGGGGGTTGTGGGGGAGGGCAGTTACTGCCATTCGGAGGTTCCCTAATTTCTCCAGAATGAAGAATTCACAGACATCAAGAATTACAAAGGTTAAGAGGACACAGCGTTTGACCACAATGTATCTGGCTCTGCCCAAATCATCAACTCTTTCCACAAAGAAACCACAACATATGACTAAGAAACATCAAAGAGTAGGAACACAAAGAAAAAACATGATTCTGAGAGTGAGTCCACAGGGACCAGCCCACAAAGAGCCACTGCAATTCCATTTATTTTCCAATCAAGGAAACTCCAGATTCTATTTTTACTGTGGTCCTTAATTATCATGACCACAACCAAGAGGCTGGATAAATGAGCCGCCAGAACAGTAAGAAATAACATAATGAAGACTAAGAAACTACTCATCACTACAAAGGAGAGACACAGCAAATATTTACACATTCCTTCTAAAAACGTTGAACTCATAGAAGCAGAGAGTGGAATGATGGTTGCCAGGGATTGGAGAGGGTGGGGGATGTGGGGGTTGGGGAGAGTAAACCAGGAGATTTTGGTCACAGGAGACGAAGTTTCAGTTGGACAAGATGAAGACATTCTAGAGAGCTATTGTATGGCATGGTGACATGGTTAATAATAATAGACTGTATACATAAAAATTGCTGAGTGGATTTTAAAACATTTTAAAATGAGGGTGAGGGTGATACGCTAATTAGCTTGATTTAATCATTTAACAGTGTATACATATATGAAAACATCACATTGTATGCCATAAATATGTACAATTTTTAATTGTCAATTATATTTTATTAAAGCTGGGGCAAAAAAGACAAATATTTACACATTCCAATTACCTGAGGATTAGCCCTGTCTTTTCCGGGTTATGACATAGGGCATTGTTTGGAGAAAGGTATTTTTCTTTCCATTTTCTTTCTTGTCATCCTACTTCACTGTCCTGGCCTTATCTGCTATCTCTGGGGTTGGGGCAACTTCTTAAATTTTATCTGTACATTTTACCTTATTCCTGCCACAGTTCAAAATGCACACTCTGAGCAGCAGTAACTTATGGCTGGAGAGGAGGGTGGAAAGTGGGATTTAAGGATGTATATAATAGTGTTCCTACTCCCAAGGAACTGATAATCTAACAATGAAAATAAGAAACATATACAGAGAGAGAGAGAAAGAGAGAGAATATAAAACAGAATGGATTATGGGTATGATAGGAATATTAAAATAAGAAAAAATTATCATGGAAAGAATTGGAAAGTTTAGGGAATTTTTTATTGGAATTTATGACAACCTGTAAAATTAGATTGAATCTGAATTTCATAAAATTTTAATTTCATAAAATTTCATACAATTTAATTTCATAAAATTTAACCTAATTTTGTTTATATAAATAGTATTTTAAGTCACTTTTTATAGCCCTTAATATAAGTGCCCAAAACGAAATTGCTATGGGAGAAATGTCCCCCTTCTTGGAAGAAACATAATCATTAAAGTGAACTTTCACATCAGCCTAGATGTTCAAGCCCAATGATAAATACTTAACATTTAATTTTAAACAAAAGGCATAGTCATTACTCTGGAGTCTGCCACAAAACAACATATGATTCATGGTTAAGTTCAGCTTACAGAGTAGTAGTAGACGAAAGAAAGGCTTGGTATCTTTTAAGCCAAATGTGGCTGATTGCTTGGAAGCTCTAATTTCATGAGAATCGAAACTCATTTATTCTACAAGTTGGCTCCTTTTAAATTCATGAAATTCTGCAATTTTACATTAAAAATGGGAAGCATAGCATGATTTTTAAGTAGCAGCTGAAATTTTAGAATACATGAGCCATTTTGCCACT